AGCTATATGCATTTATAAATGTGTAATATTTATATAATTAGGCAACAGATATAATTATTTGTATTAAAATAACACTTTGATTATGCTTACTGATTATACAATCTATTTTTGCTTTGGAGGAGCAAATTCTCATATTTCATTTTATCCCAGTGGAAACAGTATTTACTTCCCCAAGGCTTCAACATTTCTCCCCATTTTCCATCTCCACGTTCCATTCATCATGTGAAGCTCAATCTTCGGATTAGTGTAGGATTCCATGATTCATAAGTGTTCACTGTAAAAGAGAGTTGAGGTTCCTTAGTGATCTGTCACCCTATCTATGCATTGGTTTCTACAGAGAGATAGATCCCTACTTTTGCATAGGTCAGGAACCTCCCTGTGACCCAAAGGAGTTCCAGGGCACATCAAGGTCCTAAGGTTACAAGTCTGATGGTCAGCAGAAAACTGGAAGCCTAGCAGAGGAAGTAGGTGTCCACTGCCTGCTCCCACACCAAAAACATTTATGCCATATTATGTCTATTCCTTTTTATCAGTAAATCTTATTTCTCAAATTCCTTTCCTAAATTAAGTATTACTCCAACAAATACAACTCCATTGCATAATACCCTCCACAGAATTGGGTCAGCTACCTCAACAGATATTCACCTAAGCTTATAGTCTTTTTGTCTCACCAGCTCATAATAATTCTCCTTGGCCACAATCTTTCTTTAAAATCTTTGAGAAACTGTCCCCACACTGACTGTTTTTCAATAATTCTTCATTAAAAAAAAAAAAAGATGACTCTTCATGATAATACAAGTTAGCAAACTATCTAAATAATCAACACCACATGCTTCTATTCTCTACCTCATCTCAATTCACTCATATACGCACATGAAGAAACATTTACACACAAATAATCTTAGATTTTCTTCATACATTACATAGCCTGTATTGTTCCATAAATCAAGATACTAACCCATGCTACTAGTCTATGAGGTAATACAAACAGTGAAAAATCATAAAATAATTAAGCACACAGATAAAATAGCTAACTCACTAAATGCTTAGCCAGTGCAAGCTGAGCATCCTTGTATGTTCTTAACCCTTTTCCTAGTTGAGAGAATTTGAAGACCTTAAGTCTGAGCCACTATTTTTTTATTTTCTTCTATATAAATTATAATAACATAAAACCCAGAAATGTGTTTATTTTCAATTTCTTTCATGGATGAATTGAAAAGTAGCCTTTTAGTTTAGATGTGTTCTGTACCACATCCATGTCTCTCTGTATCTTAAGGATACTGCATGGCTGATGTACATACAGGCAGATTTCTTCTCACCTAATTCACCATGTGTAATTATTTAGTTTATTGAGGAATGCCTAATACTTCCAAGGAGAAAGCAACAGCAAAAAAATAGTGTTGTGCAATACAAGTCATCTGGAGGACTACTCATGTTCACTGATGCTTTGGGAGAGGGGAAAAACAAAAAATTTCTACAATTTATCAGCAGGTCAGTCACCTCATGATTACATGCAGGGCACTGCTCTGCTGAAAGCAGCCTTAAGCAACACTTAGGGATGCGCCTCCAAACCCACTGATGATCAAATTTTGGCTCCAGCTGTGGAAGCTGAGGCAGGAACTCCAGCAGTCCCAGGAGCATCACAAGCTGGAGCCCCTGTCCCTTCTATCATTGCAGTCGTGCAGCTTTGGGGCAGGGGCTGAGCTGCCTCACTTGTGCTACCTCCCCAGACTGGCCCCAGCGCAGCAGCCGGGAGAGCAGAGCAGAGCAGAGCAGAGCACTTCACATGTGGCCCTCGGCCCACTGGCTCACACTTTTCTTCTCTGTTCCCAAGATTCAGCTCAGCTGCAACTCCCCTTTCCACACCCATAAATAAAGCCCAAAATAAAAAGCTGTGGAAGCCAAACTTTACTATTAGTCTGAAAGCAGCTGTTTCTGATGGAGTGAATGGGGAAGGAGGTAATAGGGGGAGAAAGCAAGAAATGAAAATGTGTTTGGCCAAAGCCTCAAGTACAGCTCATGTGAAATCAAATGGAAGTATAAGTGGTCAGAAAGGCTCACCAACAGTTACCCTGTGGTACAGCATGAAGGGGAAAAAAGAGCTAATTCTGCCTCTTCCTTCTAGCATGTTAACCTCCAGCCTCCTTCCTTGTGCTCATTCACTAGCAGAGGACAGCTACCAAAAGGGTCTCTTTGCTAACTTAAGCCTTGGAGGGCCTGTCTGGAGACCTGCGAAGAATTTGAAGCCTCCAGTTTAACTTCCACTTGGCAAGGTGACTCAGTGCTCCCTAATGAGTCTAGTTTACATAAGCCCCTCTGTTTTTTACAGATCAATCAGGTAATGTTTGGAACATGTTAAACGTGGTATGTGTATGGGGAGGCATGAAGCATCCAGGTGATCCTTTTGTGGACGAGCAGGCTTCTAGCCTTGAACTGACACATCTTGGAATCTGAGAAATAACAGCACTTCTCCTGGATAAGCAGTTTCTGAGTCCTGCCATTTTAATTAAGGTGCCTCTACTAAGAAAGCATTAAAAGCACTTGTTACTAGCATTTATCTTCAGTCAGAATGTGTAGTAGTGTCCTCTGAACTTGTCTTGTTAAGACTCTACCCAAGCCTATTAACACCTCACCACTCCCTCATTTCTTAGTCACGTGAGGCAGCTCTTTCCCTCTGCAGCTCCTTCCCTCTGCAGCTCCCTTTCTCTCAAAAGTAGAACATGAAAAAAATGTTCTAAGGGTTTTAGTTAGACCAGCAAACTAAGAAAATAAAAACCAAAGCAGGCAGATTTCCACCTGATGAGCCAATGACAAGCACAAATGTCGTGGTTTAAGCCCAGTCAGTAACTTGGAACCACACAGCCGCTCACTCGTTCCCTGCCTTCTTCCTCCCCTGCTCCCGGCAGGATGGGAAGGAGAATAACAAGAGTGTAAATCCCATGGGGTGAGATAAGAACAGTCAAATAAGTAAAGTGTAATACAAAACTACTACTACTACTACTAATGATAAGAGGGGCTATAGGGATGCTGGAGATGAACTGTTCATTAGGGACTGTAGTGATAGGACAAGGGGTAATGGGTTAAAACTTATCAGGGGAAGTTTAGATTGGATATAAGGAATAAATTCTTTACTGTTAGGGTGGTGAGGCACTGGAATGGGTTGTCCAGGGAATTTGTGAATGCTCCATCTCTGGCGGTGTTCAAGGACAGGTTGGACAGAGCCTTGGGTGACATGGTTTAAGCAGGAGGTGTCCCTGCCCATGGCAGGGGGCTGGAACTAGATGATCTTAAGGTCCTTTCCAACCCTAATTATTCTATGATTCCAAGGTTCCTCTGAACATGCCTACCTTTTACTATATGCTTACACACAACCTGCTCATTAATTACCAAAGGATTAAAACAGTTAAACTGAGTTACTGTTACTCCTTACTTTACTTTTGTTCTTTTTCGTGCTCAGACAACCCCTACAGTCTCCCAAGAGTGGAAGCAGCACCCTGGTTCCCCTGGAACTGAGTAATCCTGTTCCTCCAGTTGCTGCATGAGTCATTATTGGGTAACATGACATTCCCTTTGTGAAGCCCTGCTTCCCAAACCACCGTCCTCAGGAAGCTGGCTGGCTACATGCTGCTAGCGAAGGTCCTTTCCAAATGCTGCATAGCTTTAAAGACAATCAAGATGCATTAAGCGCTATCCTGATACACACTGCCCTTGTAAACTGCTACTTCAGTTGCGCAGGGCCACTGTGTTCTGGTGAAGGAGTGAGAAGGTGTCTCAAAATAAGAAATGGTCCACATAAAGGAAAAAGAAAACAAAGCAAAAAAAAAATCCAAAAAACTGTGAGGGGAAGCCTTGCTCTAGATAACATGTCAGTTCTCCATGCAACTCTCTGTGGTCCAGCAATCTGGGAACTAGACTGAGACCAGGAATTATTTCCAACTCTACCATACGGAGATGCAAGACACGAGGCCAGTTGCTTGTTTTATTAAGCATGCATTTCTTCTACTAGCAGTATTAACGTTGCTGTGTTCCTGTTTCTACTTAAGGAAAGGAGAAAATAAAAAAAAGTAACTGCTCCACTCTCATTTTCTTTTAAGAGTTCCCTGTTCCTGTCAAAATGAGTTAAGCTAAACAGAGACAAGGTGGGTTTGTTCCTGAGTAAATGTGCCCGCACTTTGAGTTATTTGGGAACCATTCCTACAGCTCACATACATGCTCCCCCCCTTAATCCTTATTAAACTTCACATGTAAGAAGACCCTTAGGCTGGGTAATTAGTTATTTACTTTACAGACCACAATAACCCAAAACTTACCAGAGAGGGCAAAGCACACACAGTAGCAGCCCACTGCTGTTAGCATTTTGGCAAGGCATCTTGTTTAGTGGCTTCAGAGAAAAGTTTCCAATTGTTTGCAAAGCAGCAACCACACCATGACAAGAGCAATGCTGCAGCATGGGGAATCCCGACAGAGTCTGGATTCCTGGCACTCATCCACCTGTGACGCACTGAGGAACCATCTCACACATTCAGTACACCCCTTAGAGATAACTCACCGCAAGTCAATGCTCATGGGGCCTGTGAGCCAACATGCTGGCTGCAATGAACACATGGGAGGATACGTAACTTTTTCAATTCCCTAACACGGACTCCTCCTGCAAGTCACTGTGAAATGGCACAGAAAATCCAAGCTGATCACTTCCCAGCACTTGCAACACTACTTGACAACTAGCACGTATGTTAGTGAGGTAGTAACTGTAGGACAGTACACTGCAAGGGTAGAACACAGTGCTGAATCCTCAGTGCCTCACAGAGCATGAGGTTTTCTTTTAGTACTTCAAACACATTAGAAAGTCTGTTTTGCTCAAGGTTTTAAAGCAGATCAAAAAGGCACGGCTACCAATAGGATAAAAAAGAGGTAGACCTCACCAGGTTCAACCTGTGCTCTTTTCAACAGGGACAGTGTTTAAACTGGTGAGGTAAATGATGAGGTAGCAGTAAACTTACTTTCCAGTGATAAATTGACTTCTGGACGGTGTGCACATCGGCTGAACATAATAGTTCTCCAGTTTAACCCCTTCAGCAGCTAGCTTGTCCAGAGTGGGCGTCCTGATCTCGGATCCGTGGTACCCCACGTCTCTGAAGCCCTGATCATCAGCCAGGATGAAGACGATGTGTGGCTGCGAGCTGCGGGAGCTGACCCCCGGCTCCTCGCCCATCCCAGCCCTCGCTGCCACCGTCCCTCCGGGGCCGAGTCCAAGGCTGTCCCAGGCCAGGTAGCCGTAGGTGAGGATGCTGAGCACCGAGAGCCCGGCCAGCACCCCCACCACCACCATCTTGCCCTTGCAGAGGCAGTGGGGCCAGCTGCACCCACCACGGGCCATCCACCTTCGCTGCAGCGAGAGCCACACACCACAGAAAAACAGTAATAACCATAAAAAGAAAACCAAAACCTCCCACAGACGGAGCCAGACGCTGGGGCGAGGCAGGGATCCTCAGGGGTCCCTCCGGCCAGGGCCAAGGGGAGGAGCTCCGCCGCTCATCTTGGCCACCACCATCTATCTCAGAAGCTGCCGCCCGGTGCCGGTGGTGGAGCCGGTACCGGCCGGGTGGGCAAGGCCGCGCCGGGGGTCACAGCATCCTCGGCCAGCCCCAGTCCTGCGCCGGGGCGCCGCTGCCTGCCCGTCCCGCGGCCGGTGATCATGCCGCGGCGAGCCAGGGCGCCCCGGCGCACCGCGGCGGCGGAGCGGGACGGGACGGGTCCGGCCCGGACGGACGGGACCTGACACCTCCCTCGGCCCGCCCCCTCCGGCGTTGCTCGGCCGCTCACTACCTCCCGTCTCCTCCCGCCCTTCTCTCTCCTCCCAGACTTCACCCTGCTGCTCCCGGCACACGGGTAGGCGGCCTGGCGTCCCCCTGCCCGAACCCCCTGGAAACCCAGCCGCTGCCCGCGCCTTCTTTTCCCTTTCCTCCTTCCCGGCCTTTCCCCGCGCTACCTCCCGTTCCTCCCCACAGCTCGGCGGCGAACACCACCCCTCCCGCCCCCCCCAGAGCACAAGGCAACCCTTTCCTCCCGTGAATCCCACGTCTCTTTCCTTCCTGCCCAAAGCTAAGGTGGTCGTCGTCAATTCCCCCGAAATATCTATTGGTTTAAGTGCATCCGAAATCGACACGAACATCTGGAAGTTATGAATGTACAGGATTTGTTTTCAGCCACAAAACAGTCCCAAATCCCAAACCCTCCATTCTGGTAACGCTGTGGTACATGCGAGGAACGCCCCCTTTCAAAGTATAATTGTAAGAAATACCGGTTCAAGTATGAATTTGCTGGAGTTGCAAAATACAACTTCACCCCAATCCTGAATGACACCGAAGCCAGCAAAAAACCATGTTCATGCACGATTAGCCTAGATAGAAGTAAATGTGCAGGTTTGACCTGTCTAATATGAGTCATCATGACAGGAAGAACTTCAGATTTTATGAAACATTAATTCTTCCAGAACCACTTGGAGAAATCCCTGTCATGACTGCACCTCAGCAGCCCTCAGGGGCTCGGGCTGGTCCCTGCTGGTAGCCAGCCTCCCACAGGAAAGCTTCTATCTCTCCTTTCTTAAGAGCTGATGGATTCTAGCACTGAAAAGTTCAGCATAATCTTAAAAGTTTGCTCTGCTCCCCACAGCTCTGAGTAATATTGCCTGAAACAGCCAATTTTGGGGCTGGAAGGGAGGCGTTTTTTCTCATGGAGCATTACTTTCCTCTTGCACAGCACGTTAACTTGTGCATAGTATTAACTTGTGTACCGCATGGAAACCATATCGTCTAGAGTAGCTTCTCTAATGCAAATATCAGCTTTAAAGTATCAGAACAGAAAATGCAGCATGACAGCCAACATAATGGTTCCCAGACTTACTATTTTTCTGCCAAATACACTTCCACAGTATCACAGACTGGTTTTGGTTGGAAAGGACCTCATCCAATTTCAATCCCCTGCCATGTGCCGGGACACCTTCCACTAGACCAGGTTTCTCCAAGGCCCCTTGTGCTACAGTTACAATGCTGCAGCAGGGAGAACATGGAAGTAAGAGGGGGATTTAGTGAATGTGGTTCCTAAGGGGTTGTCCAAACTGGAAATTGAGAATAATTAAATTACATCTGCATTGTGAAATTTACAGAGTTTAACTCCTGAGGTAGAATATCTTCTTCTGACATCAGAGGAACTTTACGGAACATTAACTCAAACTCTTAAAATGCCAAAACAAAAGAAGAAAACCCACCACAAAACTACAAAACCTTAAGCTGAAGAAACACTTCTAACTTTTTATATACTGAAATGACATTCCCTTTAAAGTGTTCTCTATTCAATTTTACTCCTGCTATCCCCCCAACTTTTACAAGACTGAAAGAATGTGTATGGAAACCTAAACCTCCAGGTGGTAAAATGCAGATTGGGTTAGCAACACTATTTTGCCTTTAACCCATCTCTTTCAAAATGGCAAACAAAATATGAAGTCCTTTTAACATAAGCTAATAGCACCATGGACTCAGACAAATGGAAGAGCATCATACTAAATATCTAATCAAATGTATATATATTTTCTAGTAGTTAAATACAGTTTTCATTATTTGTTTCAAAAATACCAACCATCAGCTACAACTGTATGCTCTACATAACCCATGCATTATGCTATCCATGTACGGTTATACATAACTAGCCATATTCTGCTTGTATAATCAGAATATTTCCGACATGTCCAACATATTCAGAGTGGTAGAAGGCTGGCTAAAGGGGTTCATTCCTAAGTAGTTGACCAATGGCAGTGAGCAGAACTACAGAATCATCTAAATTTGGAGTTTGGAATTCAGATTATTTGAATGGTAGGAAAAAATATCTATCAGTAGGGAGCTGGCACAGTGTCTATATCCCTACAAAACAGAACTATTAGCAGACATCAGAACAGAGCCTTCGATTTTCGCACTGCCCCATTAACCACAGTTTTCCCCTGGCAGTCACCACCCAACTGCAAATGAAAACATTGGAGAGCAATCTCTGTTAGACCTATAAACTTGGTGTTCTGTCTTTGTGGGCCTGCCAAAATTTCCCTTTTTATTTTTCCTACTTTTGTAAAAACAAAAGTAAGCTTATGTCAGCAAAATATTCCACTGACCTTCAAGTAAAGAGGCCTTGAAAGATAACATGCTATTAATATTCCACTTAAGAAAGTATTTGTAGACACTTGGGAGTTGCAAGTGAGATTTATACAGCCCATTCAGGATGCTCAGTCAAAGGCACAAAAGTGTTGTGAAAGCTGGAGGAAGTGTTTTTCCCTTAGGGGAAAAAAGAAACCAACAAAAAAAATCCCAAAACACGACAGAACCTTCACAGATATTTAAACTTGAGTGCAGTGAATACACTGATTTGAATATATGGTAGTTAAAATTGAATTTAATATACCATTAGAAAAGGACACATTTTTAGTACTTGTTACACAGGCTCTGCGTGTATGAAGACCCATCAGATAACCAAATTATACATGTCTGGAGAGGATAACTTTGGTTGAAGATAACTTTTGTTATCTTCAATCAAGTCAGGGGCTTTTCATGTTGTTTCAGCTCAGGCTGACATGTAACCTTTCTGTTTCCAAGACACACCTATTTGACACACAAATACAAGCCCAAGAAGACAACAGCGTTATAAAGTTAGGCACAGTTGAAAAAACTAAAGCACACTCTTCCTTCAAACCCATCATGACAGAGGGCACAGGGTCAGTACTAGCAGGGACAGCAAAGCATTACTCTGGGTGAAGGATCTTCTGTCTAAACCTGGGTTCTGAGGAGTAGGGCTGTTTCTGAGGCAAGCTCTGCTCCTATGTTCTCCATGCTACCACTCTGCTAGCTGCTGGACTGTCAGGGAATCCAAAGGGTTTGTTGTGGGCTTTTTTGGGGTGGACGGGAGGCAGTTTTAAACTGAGACACACCTTGGACAATGCATATAAAAATGCGTTCTGAAAAGGATGGTAACACATGCTCTGTTTTCTTTTTCTTCCCTAACTAGCCCTTTCTTTCATCTGCCTTGAAAAGAGACCCTCCTGGGATTCATGAGCAGGCTGGCACACAGCTCCAGCCCCAGGAGTGTGACCAGGCTGGAAGATGCAGTCTCACTGCTTGTGCCACTACACATCCCAAGAGGGAATCACGCTCAGAGTTCAAGAGCAGCAGGAATAATAACGGTAAATAAGGTCTTGGAGAGGGAGCTTGTAGCAAAAAATAGATTCAAGTGCTAAGACTTACAAGATAACATTCTAACTATTTTTCTAACACTTAGTTCAGCCCTAGAGAGGTATTTCTTAGCAGTGGGGACTACACGTCTCTTCTTACTCTGGAGTCAAAGCTGTCTGTACAAGAAAGTTTGCAATTCAAGATGTGCATTCCAGTGCTCTTCCTGGTTATGCCTGAGGTCAGAAAACTTAGTCTGCTTGAGGAACAGCTTTTTGAACTGTTATTTTTAGCTTCATAGCTACAAGTATAGTAAGAGCAAAACAGTCATTGGCCTGCACACAGAGTCATTATTCTTCATTTTTCCAGGAGCTAGAAAGGTAACTGGGCATTTCCTTTGACCCCAGTGAATCTTTGATGTCCCTGTCCTCAGCATACCTTCCTACTGGGGAAGGGAAGAAGCAGAACTTCACTGCACTCTGCTTCCCAGGTGGATGCTATGCTCTTGCCAGGCACTCATCACTGGAAACAGTATATTAGAAACAAGAATAAAATCCCCGAGAGTCATGGGACTTACGTCATTCCCTTTGCCTTCACTGGGGGACCTTGCTAATTAATTTACAGATGTGCTGCTTGTGAATTGTCAGATTCTACCTGTGGCTTACTCCCTGATTTAGGATGACATAACCAGAACTAATGTCTCTTAACTTATTCTATATTTAACACAGATTTTTCTCAATTCCCTGCTGTATTTCATAGGCAAAGGTCCAGATTCTGATCTCAGCTGCCTGCAGTGACATAAATGTGCAGTCATTCAAGTGATGGCAATAAAGTCACTCTGGAAATTTTAGGACTTGACCTTAGAAATACCTCCCATGTCAGTCCCTGCAGTGACTGGAAGGACACTTTAGAGCCAGTGGTTACCTTCCAGGAGGACCCTCCCATTTCCTCCCCATTAGGTGATGTTCATGATCCCAAATGAAACAGAAAAAAATCTTTAAATGTGTATCCACTGGTTCTGGAAAGAGCAACTGGATAATATGCTGCCTAATGCAAAAAAACGCTTAACTTTCCTACAAACATGAAAAATGTCTGGCATTTCAGACCTTATCCAATAAAGGAGGCCTGTGTTTGTAAGTACTGAAGTGCAGCACTTGCATTTTATGATTATCCTTCCCTTCTACCCTCCAAGAGTAATCCCAAACTGAGAACCAAATATTTATCATATAACACACATCAACACAATTAGATGCCTCAAAGGCATCCATTCCCACTTCAGGCAGCTACATAAAAATATTGAGTAGGGGAAACACAGCAAAATTAAAATGGCCCCATTGGAGTAGAATAAGAATTGTCTGGCCAGCATCCTGTCTCTAGGCAGTGATTGCAAATATATGCCCAGAGAAAAATAAGAATTACATGAGACTTTTCCAGATATTCCCCAGCCTCCAACAGTTTTAGCTGAAGAAATTTCATCAGATGTATATGTTTTCTAATGATTATGAAAACAGGCTAAGAAAGTTGGGGCTGTTC